TATCTATATATATATGTGTGTATATGTAGATATATATGTGGGTCGCACAGATATATATACATATATATATATATGTGTGTATATGTGTATATATATCTATATCTATCTATATATATATATATATATATATATCTATATATATTCTGTATACATACACACACACACACATATATAGATAGATAGATAGATAGATAGATAGATAGATAGATAGATAGATAGATAGATATATATATATATACGCGCAAGAACCAACTCACACATACACACAAACTCATTATTGTTCTCTCTCTCTCTCTCTCTCTCTCTCTCTCTCTCTCTCTCTCTCTCTCTCTCTCTCTCTCTCTCTCTCTCTCTCTCTCTCTCTCTCTTTCAATCTGTACGTCAGTCTATCTCTGTCAATGTATCTCGATCAGTGCCAATCTCTCACTTTTCTAAATACACATACTGAAATACCCTGATACGCTAACACATACATAAAAATACCTTAACAAAATCCTACATACACGGAAATATCCTAACACGCAAACACAAAAGCAAAAAAGTGCACACAACGAGGACAGAGGTTTAGGCTGTGACTCACGGTCTCCTCTAGCCTGTGAGCAGACACCATGAGTCACCAATCTTCTCTTATCGGTGGGAAGACAAAGCCTACAGGAATCAGCCAGATGTGATATAAATGTTTTACACCGCCATCGACACAGCATGGGTCATTTAAGAGACGGCACTCCAACCCTGCCTGGGATACAACATCCCAGCAGAAAGACCACGATACTCGATAAAAATGTTCCCCTCGCTCGGGAATCGTACTCTGATAACCTACGTGTGACAGCGAAGCACCTAACTGCTGTACCCATAGTAATCATAAATGTGCAAAGCAACCAGCAAGATTTGAAAGGTCAAAATTTGCAACATGATGGTCAAATCTTGACAGCCCTCTCAAAAGACTTGAACGACTTACAGGACAGGCATCTGTCAAGTTTAAACGTGCATGCGTAGATGGTTCAACCGATTAATAATCCACCGCATTACTCGGTTTCCACTAGGGTAGCTCATAAAAACAGGTATTGAAAAGATGAATACATTTTGGAGCCCCCCCCCCCCCCCTAATACACACATTCAAATGAAAAATAAATAATTTTTTAAAGAAAATAATAAATACGTGTTTAGCGTAGATGTGTTAACACCTCCATCTAAACAATTTAGATCATCTATGATGCGAGCTTCCGACCCTGCCGCTGTCAGAGCCAACCCAAGGTTTGCAACATTCAAGCAGAAAGACCGAAATACTCCACAAAAATTTATACCAATTCGGAAACCGAAATCGAACCTCCTGCATGCGAGAGTGAAGCGCTCAACCGCTGCACCTCAGATGTCAGTAAATGAATGAGTAAATTAAGGAATATATTGATTAACTGAATAATTGAAATTAATTTATTTATTTATTTATTTATTTATTTATTTATTTATTTATTTATATTTTGTCACTCATCTATCATCCTCCGAAATCATACTATCCTGGAGACAGTACAGGGATCCTGGGAGCAAAGGAGGGCCGATGGTCAGAAGGGTAATGCAAAAGGACCTTTACTCAGAGGATTAATACAGGAGTCCTTACTGCTGAGGGGACCGTACTATGTGGTGCAGCGATATGCACTTTGTTGACGCACACAGGACACCCGAGTTCGATTCCGGTATGGGGGAGACCATTTTTTATAGTTGAGTATCTCGGTCTTTTTTCGAGGATGTTGTATCCCTCACAGCCCGGGTTGGCCCAGACAAGCAGGGTCGGAGGCCCGCCAGCTAAATAATCTAAAGTGGGTCGATGGGGGCATAAACACAACAGCAACAACAACAGCAACTACAATAACAACAACAACAACAACAACAACAACAACAACAACAGCAGCAGTAGCAGCAGCAGCAGCAGCAGCAGCAGCAGCAGCAGCAGCAGCAGCAGCAGCAGCAGCAGCAGCAGCAGCAGCAGCAACAACAACGACAACAACAACACGACAAAGAGGGCCGATGTTCAGGGGGTCAATACAAGTGTCCTGACCACAGTACTGAGGAAGCCGGGAGCCGGGCCTCATAGGGCCAAGTCCCCTAACCCTGGCTTCTAACAGTCAGGTATCCAAACGACCAAGCTTCGTTCGCGTCTGGTCTGTACCACACCCTCCTCCCACTATAGCTCCTACTCTTCCCCTGCCAAGTCATACCTTCTCTTTATATACACCTAGACCACGCACTGTCATGGCTGCCGTCCCTCGTTCTCTGTAAGAGCTTTGCAGCGTCGGTCCACGTGACGGTCTGCCACAAAGTGCCTCTTCTACTTGAGGAACTACCACCCACTTGCCGGTCTTCTACTTAGTCCTTTACAATCAACGATACTAAACAGTTTCCCTCTGCGTTATGTGGATAATAAGTGTATAGGTTTTATGTCCCTATCAATGCATATAGATTAGTTAATAGGCGGGACCTCCGAATTTAACGTCCGTCTCCGATAGAACCTGTGTAATGGGCTGAGAGCTAGTCTATCTTACTAGCACATGTAGTAAGATTGCCTATGTAGAGAGAAACTTCACAAAAATATCCTAGTTCAAGAACGTCAATCTGCTCCGTTGTCCAGTACGATACCAGCTGAGCTGTAGATAGATAGATAGATAGATAGATAGATAGATAGATAGATAGATAGATAGATAGAAAGATAGATAGATCATATGCGATATATAGGATAATAATTATGCGACTACCTGGTCTCTCCCAGCCCTACTGTCAACCTTTCACACTTTCAACATACTGGTGTGGTATAGAAAGAGTTAATTTGTCATTTATTTCACAAAGTATGTATTTTAGTCTGATGTCTAATCATCTCGGCAATGCACACTCGGATGATTCGTTAGAAACACGGTACTGGTTTTTGGAATCATTGTTCTTACCTCCTCGCCTTTTCTCCAAAAGACTTGGGTCCATTCAACACCTGACAAGTAATTTAGCTACTTGTGCAGAAGACAATTTCTCATCGGGGGACGTTGAAATTACTACAACCGTTATCTAAATACTATCGAGAAGCATCGTATTTCTGCTGTATCTCATCCAGACCGGATTGGCCCTGACATACGAGGTTTTTACTGACCTAAATTCCGTTGATGATGGAGCATATTAATTATTCAAAAACGCATAGTGTTGAAACTCAACACTGAGGCAACACAACGACCAGTATAGAAAATTCATCTTTTGTGAAAGATTTACATTTTTATTTCAACAGTAAGTGATACCCAGCTTTAAAAGACAAGTTGGAAAATAAATGATTCTGTTGGAATGTTTGTGATGTGTCTACATAGTCTACAGTTAGTGAACACAGGCTCATAATAACATCCAGCACGTGTAAGAGAATTATATTTTTAGTTCAAACGCAAACACTCGTAATACTCAGCATCAATAGACTGCTTTGAAAATAAAAAGGTTCAGTTGAAATGTTTGTGATATGAATACACAGTCTATTGATAGAGTTAGTGAGTTCAGATTCATTAAAACATTAAGCACATTAAGTCAGTGACACGAAGACAGTGTAGATGTGTGGTCTCTATGGTGTTTGCCTTTAGGGTGTGTCCTTGAGCAAATCACGATATCCCAGCTCGAAAACAGGGCGCTGCACAGTGACAGCCAGCCATGGCGTGTTGTTTGTTTCTTTATATTGAGGCGATGTTGTGTACTATAAAATGTTGACAGATTCGTGTATTGTGTATGTATTCATGCAAGTATGAATTTACGTTCCATTTTGAACCAGTTTCCCCCACGTGGATCATTAAAAGCGGAACTGTATCTTATTTCAACATTCAAAAACGCCGAAGAGTGGTCAGGACAGAGACTTGCATCACAATACTTTCGTTGATGGACTGTCCTGGCCAACGTTCTTAGCTCTCTGTTGATTGTTGCTCTGAAACGTGGGCACCATGGACAAGACCACTACACTGAAACAAAGGGCAAACACTAGTCTCTCTATAGTCGAGTGCGCCCCGCTCCCTTTTTTGCTCTTCAAGTGGCTCCAAATCGAGTAAAATTGTGTGCTCCATAGTGAGCTGGGAATATGTCAGAATGCAAAATCTATGGTTTTACAAAACACTTTGATAGGCCTGACTATCTAATTGCATGACAGAATGCCATCAATAAACTCGTGCTTTGTGTGTGGTTAGCGGGTACTCCGGTGTGGTTTGCACCTTTTTTCCAGTCAAACATATATCGTCCACATCTCTCCTCCTTGTTTTCTGTGTATTTTTTTTTCTAGTAACACCTCTAATCTTCGGCACCTATATGACTTACTGTGCTGCAAGTGCCGTAAAACTCTTACTATAAAAACTCGTGCTCTACAATTTGGAAAAGAAACTCTTTCAGAGCATATCAAACAATAACATGTTGTAGATCAATCGGCTGGCACGCGGCACATAGCTATTCCGCCTTGACGTTCCGTACCGTGTGCTGGATGTGCGAGGGATATAATTGTTACTGTATATCTGCGCCGAGGGGTTGGGGGGTGGCCCAGCCTCGGGGGAGACTCGGGGAGATATCAGGTTATTGTCTCCACTCCAATTCAAAGAGCTGGTCTGAGGTTGGGATCGTGCCAAACGGTTTGGGTTCGTCTGATGAAGTCCTAGTTGTTGTTGCTGTTGTTGTTGCTGAAGTCGTTTTAGAAGCATTAGTTGTTGTTGTTGTTGTTGCTGCTGCTGCTGCTGCTGTTGTTGTTGTTTTCGGGCGGCTGCCAATTTCTGAGCTTGTACCTGAGCTAGGTAGGCCTTGTAAGCTGAACTGTCATGTGGGTCCGTGACACTGTGACCTGAGTCTGTTCTGTCTGTGGAGACAATGGCATTCACTAAAATCCAGAGGCATGACATTGGGATTCGGAAGTAGAAATCTGGTTTACCGAATCAAACAGGTAGGGGCATTGAGTGAGTACATAAGGAGCCCTGACACAAGGATTCAGAGGTAGAGAACTGGTTAACTAGATGACACAGGGGTACTCAGTGAATACATACAGAGAAGGGTGACTCAAGGATTCGGAAATAGACCATTCATTAACCGGATAGCACAAGGGCACTCATGCATTTCATACATTCATCGTGTACTTTACGTATAAACCTGCCCCCTCACCCTTGTAAATCTCTACCATGCTCCTGTCATCACTTTTTATATTTGGGAAATGAGAGATAAAACGGAATCTCGAAAATAAAACATTTGTATATTTTTGTAAATAATGTCCACCAATTTGAAGAAGAAGAAGAAGAAGAAGAAGAAGAAGAAGAAGAAGAAGAAGAAGAAGAAAAATAGGAGGAGGAGGAGGAGGAGAAGGAGGAGAAGGAGGAGGATGAGGAGAAGAAAAAGAGGAGGAGGAGGAGGAGAAGGAGGAGGAGGAGGAAGTAAAGTTACCTGTTCCAGCAGCTGTCATTGGTCCCAAGACGTCCTGAGTGCCCGCCATTTGTCCGTTCGTCAGACTGCCCTGTGGGGTCGGCGGTTTCTGTGATTGGCTGGTGGCGGTGGAAAGGACTCCTGATGAAGCTGAAATTCAGCAATTTTTTTAATGTGAACATTTGTAAGGAACATTGGGCCACACCCACGCTACACTACATCTTTCAAACTAAGAACTACACCTACGACAATTCACACAATTACGGAAAAAACAAAGACTCGAAAGTTAATCTACTTGAAATCATTGCACTTTGAAGTCTGAAACAAGACAAAAGATTTCTCCAGTACAATATTATTATGCATTTCAAAAAGGACAGAATGAGAGCAGGGTAAAATTTCACGAACAAGGAGGATGGCAACCATCAGTTTCTGTACCGGTATGACAGCACTAGCCCACAGTGACCCCGCGATATGCGTGCTGGGTCAGATCACTTCTGGATGGGGTAGGTCTGGGTGCGGGAGGGTGGGGATGGGGCTCTCGTCTAAGTCTGCTTTTCACTGAGAATCCTTTATCCAGGGCAATCGTGCAGCCTTACATGGTAATGTCCAGGTAGTACTTTTTACTTATATGTGTATGTCCAGGTTGTACTTACTACATGCTGTGGTAGGACTTACTGATACAGGTAGCACTTACATGTCCAGGTACATGAAGTACTTAAATGTCCTGGAAGTACTTACATATCCAGGTAGTAATATCATGTCCATGTACATGTCCAGGTAGTACTTACATGTCCAGGTAGTACTTACATGCCCAGATAGTACTTACATGTACAGGTACATGTCCAGGTTGTACTTATATGTCCAGGTTCATGTCCAGATAGTACTTATATGTCCAGGAAGTACTTACATGTACAGGTAGTACTTACATGTCAGGAAGTACTTACATGTACAGGTACTACTTACAAGTCAGGTAATACGTACATGTCCAGGAAGTACTTACATGTCAGATAGTACTTACATGTCAGATAGTACTTACATGTCCAGGAAGTATTGACGTGCAATACCCATACGTAAAGATTGGCAAGAGAAATGTTCATTTTGCTGAGATAGTGATGTGGAAGTTTTGTTTGGTGTTAGAAATGCATGTCACTGACTTCTTTTTTTTAATCAAAGAATAAGTCGAAATCTTACCAAATTATGTTGGTACGTAAATATTTTCTGAGAATGTCATCGGTTTATAACAAAGGTCAGTAGAAGTGTTTTACGACTTGATCAACACTATCTTAACCATTTAGGAGGCCACTGATTCAAGCCTCAATCCTGGCTAGTATGTCAAACCCAGATGGAGTGGAATACAACAATCTAGCAGAAAGACAGAAAAACTCGACAAAAACGTCCCCATTTGGAAATAAAATTTACACTTTCTTGACGAAGCAGTGAAAAGTCCTCACACACACACACACATACACACACACACACACACACACACACACACACACACACACACACACGCATACACATACGCACGCACACACGTACACACACACATGCATGCACACACGCACACACACA